ATGTGCTAAACTAATGTTTCATTTTAAAATATTGTGAAATTCATTGTGACTAGATGTACTTATGGATGGAATATAACCTTTTCAACTTAGGTTTGATTGTAATGACACTGTGATCTAGGGAAATTAGAGAGTTGCAATGATACTGTCAATTCAGGAAAAATCTAAGTTGAGAGTTGTAGGAAATGATGATGAACAAGCCAAGATAATTTTCATTCCCTGTATTCTTTTTTCTTTTCTTTTGGAGAGTTTTTGCTATAGGGCACATGTGCTCACCAGAAATACAGACAGAGACAGAGAGACAGAAAACGACAAATCACCCCCCACTAGGGGGGGATGGTCACACCACAATCCCATCTCCTCCATTCTCCTCTCAGGATCTTGGGCACACACACAAACGCGCCCGGCGTGAGCATGAGTTTAAACCAGCTCCGGGACTCAAACCTCATTCGACTACATGGGAGTCCAACAACACAGCCATTACACCAACTGCTGTCCCATTCTCTATATTCTTAAACTTTCCTAATCTCTCCTCTATTCTATTCCGTCAGTTACTTTTAGTCTAAACATCATTATTTTCCAGCTGGGTGTTTGCCAAAATATGGAATTGGTCTTTCTGCCACCAGTTTCACCACCTTCCAATCTGTCATTCATGATCTGACCAGATAGAAACATGAACATGATTCTGTACATCGGCTGAAAATGACCTCTGAACATCACAGATTGGTCTTTCTTTCTTTTTTTTTTTTTTTAGAACAAAACATTTTCTTATTGAAATAAAAAGACTTTGGGGACCAGCAGATGACATAATGGTTACATCGCTGGACTACCACATGGCCTACCGTGGTTTGAATCCTGGATCCAGTGACTTGTAACTCACATCAGGTGCATGTGCCTGCATGTCCAAACTCCTGAGAGGATAATGAAGGAAAAAGGCTTGCACTGTGTCCATCCCCTCTGAGGGTGATTTCTTGCTTTCTGTCTCTGTCTCTTTCTGTATGGCAAGTGCATGCACCCTATAGCAAAAACCTCTCCAAAAAAAGAAAAGAAAAAGAAAACTCACATCGTGTGTGTCTGTGTGTATGTGTGTGCATGTGTGCCAAAAATCCCAAGAGGAGAAGGGGTTACAACATGGCCACCCTCCCTGGGGGGTTGATTTCTTGCTTTCTGTCTCTCTGTTTCTGTGTCTCCAGTGAACACATGTGCCATGTAGCAAAAATGTCTCTAAAAAAAAGAAGAAGAAATAAAGACAGACAGAAAGAAAAAAGTAAGAAAAAGAAAGAAAAATTATAAATGTGAAAATACCTACATAGACCTTGGCACATTATCAGTTGCCTAATAATGCTAGTTTCTCTTTACTATAATCTTTACAATGTAACTTGTTTGTCAGAGTCCCCATACTAATCAACCTAGAAAACAAGGAAAGATGTCATCCAGCAGTAATGGTTTATTTAATATCATGTGCTAAACTAATGTTTCATTTTAAAATATTGTGAAATTCATTGTGACTAGATGTACTTATGGATGGAATATAACCTTTTCAACTTAGGTTTGATTGTAATGACACTGTGATCTAGGGAAATTAGAGAGTTGCAATGATACTGTCAATTCAGGAAAAATCTAAGTTGAGAGTTGTAGGAAATGATGATGAACAAGCCAAGATAATTTTCATTCCCTGTATTCTTTTTTCTTTTCTTTTGGAGAGTTTTTGCTATAGGGCACATGTGCTCACCAGAAATACAGACAGAGACAGAGAGACAGAAAACGACAAATCACCCCCCACTAGGGGGGGATGGTCACACCACAATCCCATCTCCTCCATTCTCCTCTCAGGATCTTGGGCACACACACAAACGCGCCCGGCGTGAGCATGAGTTTAAACCAGCTCCGGGACTCAAACCTCATTCGACTACATGGGAGTCCAACAACACAGCCATTACACCAACTGCTGTCCCATTCTCTATATTCTTAAACTTTCCTAATCTCTCCTCTATTCTATTCCGTCAGTTACTTTTAGTCTAAACATCATTATTTTCCAGCTGGGTGTTTGCCAAAATATGGAATTGGTCTTTCTGCCACCAGTTTCACCACCTTCCAATCTGTCATTCATGATCTGACCAGATAGAAACATGAACATGATTCTGTACATCGGCTGAAAATGACCTCTGAACATCACAGATTGGAGTCCAAGATCACTGCCTGTTATGCAAGATAGTGTTAACTAACTTTTGCCTACCACAGCAGTCTCACCCATCCCACTCCAGACTCTCCCTAAGATCCCATCGTACCTAGCAGTTGACTGAATTCCCCAGGAAACCATACAAACTTCAGACTCTGTATGATGCTCCACCGTAACCTCCCCCTACTCCCTTGACTAACTTCTGATGGGCTTTCAAATACTCAGTTAAGTGTTATTTTCTTCTGGCAAGACTGTCCTTACTTCCCTCTCAGCATAAGAATGTGGTCTACTTACTCCCTTTCGAGAATCACGTGGGCTTTTTCCACACAAAGTCACCATGGTTCGTTAATGAAAAGAGATGTGTCAGCTCAACCACGCATTTCTTGGTGTCAGAGAAGCTCTTCTGTGTCCTCATGTTAAGGACACATGAGGCATAGGTTTAGCCTTCAATAATGTTAGTTTGCAGATACATTGGCAGAATTGTTATTGTTTGCTTCAGATTCAAAGCCTTAGGGTTCTCAGACTTTGGTAAGAATAGGTGATTTCAACAAGGAAATTAGCAGCAGACACCTATGTCAGAACATTTTGCTGGTATGGAGAATGTATGGGGAGACTGAGTCTCCTCCCCAATAGGACATCTATTCCTTTGTGAAGTACTAAGATAAAAAAGGCCTATCATGAGATGTTAAATCTGGGAGGGATTAAGAACATCCCTTTGGACCAGCAGATGGCATAATGGCTATGTCACTGGACTCCCACGTAGTCAACCATTGTTCAAGTCCTGGACCCGGTGACTTTAACTCACATTGGGCACATGTGCGTGCATGCCCAAGATCCCAAGAAGAGAAGAGACTGAAGGAGAAGGGATTACAGCATGGCCATCCCTCTGGAGGGTGATTTCTCGCTTTCTATCTCTCTTTCTTTCTAGTGAGCACAAGCACTTTATAGCAAAAAGCTATTAAAAATAAATCCCTTATTTCTTTCTAGGTTTATTTATTTAAAGAATTATTTATTTAATTTAATTTTTATTTTTTCATTTTGACCAGAGTGAAACACACAGAGAGGGAAGGAGAGAGAGAGAGAAAGAGAGAGAGAAAGAAAGAGAGAAAGTGTGAAAGCAAGCCACCAGGTCCAGGACTCAAATTGTGGTTGGTCATGTGGGAGTGCCCAATGCCTTAACCATCACTCCACCTGCTGGTCCCCTATTTATTTATTTAAAAACTAAAAAAGAGAAAGAAATAGCACTCTTAATAGGTTTGTTTGTTTGCTTGCTTGTTTATTTTTTAGAGAGAGGCTTTTACTATAGGGCATGTGTGCTTACCAGAGAGAGACAGAGACAGGAAGTGAGAAATCACCTCCCAAGGAAGGATGAGCATGCTGCAATCCCGTCTCCATTCTCCTCTTGTGATTTGGGGCCCGCACATGTGCCGGCATGAGTTTTAAGCCACTGGGTTAGGTACCCCTTCCTAGTTGAGAACGTGGAGTCCAGCAACATAACCATTATGCCATCTGCAAGTCCCTAGGGTCTTAACACTATGATCCACCCTTGCCAGTAGCCAGCCCAGGATCATGAACGTGTGCAGATACCCAGTATGCTCAGAGAGGTCTCCAGATACAAACCCAGAAACCACCCATGCAGATCAGCTTAGCAGAGAACAAGGAATGATGTCATTCAGCACCAATAGCTTTGTGAATATCGCGTGCTAAAATAATGTTGAATTTATTAGCGAAACATTACTTTATCACTGTGCTACCATCTGGTCCCATCTGCCTATTTTAAGAGAAGTCCTGATAAGCCTTGCCAGCACGACAGCTATGGCCCGCAGCAGAGCTGGGTCAAGAACCCAGTTACCAGTATTCATCACTTGAACCGGCTCGCTCCTTCTTTCCTTCCTTCGTTCCTTCTTTCTTCTTTTTTCATTTTTTGAATTAAGCAAACTCAGTATGCCAAGTTCCCACATAATCTGTCTACAGAGATAATTCTAACATGTTGCCATGGGATCATCTACAGAGAGATCCTGCTTTGATTTGGAGCTATTCAACACCACACACACACACACACACACACACACACACACACAATAGCTTAGAGGCTGCAGGAAAGCCATTGACTCTGGTCTTTCAAATTTCACCCACAACTTGCTCTCATGAGATGATTTCTATTTTACTCTCATTCTTCTTCACTTCCTCAAAAAAAGAAACATCAGTATGACATATGGATAGGTTCCAACATCAGCCAATACATATATTAAAGTTTTAAACCAGCTATTGTTCTAGTACACTCCCTGAGATTGAGAAAGAACATCCAGGACTAACAAACCTGAGTTTTCTGGCTAAGTTACCATTTGATTCATGCTGGCATTTCTGGGCTTTTTCTTTTTTTCCTATCCTAACTTCATTTTTAAAAAGGTGGTGGTTCAAGTAGCAATTTTTAACATCACAATTTTCATTCATTTTCTCCATGAGACTTCTACCTCCCAGTCTCGAGGGGCTTTCCCAGGGGCAGAATGCCCAGCCTGAGCATGCTTAGTTGCAGAGACAGCTGTCAGTCTGACAGTGAGTTCACTGGACCATGGATTATTCCTGTCTTTATTACCTTCTGAGCAAGAAAGAGATTCAGGCTTGGGAATATGAACACTTCATAACTTGGCATTCTTAGATCAAGAAAAAGACTTAATCATAACAGTTAAGAAACCAAATTACAACTGTGTATAACATGAGGAATTTTAACTTAACAACTGCTCTGAGTTGGACCTATATGAGTATTCCGATTACTACTGCTCTAACTAAAATTCCTATAAAGTGTGTTGGATGTTTTTTCTAGGCAAGTACTGGAAGTCGGTAAGGACGGTGGCTGTGCCAAGGGGTTGTGCTTTGGCTGGCGCTCAGCTGCAAGAGGAGACAGAGACCGTTTCTGCCTTGGCCTCGCTGACAGTGGATGTGGAACAGCCCTTTGCTCAGGAAGACTGCCACAGGTACGAATCCATCATGGGGGAATCATTCGGGTCACTAACATCCTGGCTCATCATTGGCGTTCATGAACCTTCCTCCTGGCCTTCCTTCACCTGTCTTCTCTGCTTCTCTCATCTGTCTTCCCCAAAGCCACAGATGCCACAGCACATGCTTGAGGCTTCAGAGAATGCAATCGTCTCATTCTTCATGGGAGACACTGAGCTGGATCAGGTGGTTGCAGTTCACAGAGACGTAGGATGGGATAGACGGTGGGGAAAAAAATCCACTCGTTATTGAATAATTAATGCAAGTCATCATGGAAGGTGCTGCTTATGGTCTGAACATCTTTCCTTCCCAGATGTTCTTTTTCTTTCTCTCATCATTTGAAATTATTGGTATAACAAAGGGAAAAGAGGAGTGCATGAGGTTGGATAGCAAAAATGCGTACAAATTCCTTATGTAACTGTCTGTGAGGTCCAACAACTGGATGAAGAAGGAAGTTGTCTACAAGAGTGTGTGTCTGATTTCACTTTATGTGTGATAAGAAGAAATGGGTTTCAGTTGGTCATCATATGGATATAACTTTCTAGGAGAAAAAATGAGGTTAACCTAAAATGGAATTCACTCATTCCCTTTTTAAGGACTGTCCATTTGTGCATGTTGGTGTTTCGTCATCCTCTCTTAAAGACAGAGCTATAGCCACGATTTCTCTAAAGACTGCTGTGACCAAAGCACCACAAATACACATTAACATTGGTACATTCTATGGCTGACTTCGAGGTCATATTTCCTTAATTGAAAACAAGTCAGGTGAGGCTTTGCTAGAGCTCTGCCCAGCCTGCACTCTTAAATTGCTTCTGAGAAGGAAATCGGACTCCCTCCGTCAATAACATCACCATTAATTACACAGATCCTGCTACCAGTGCATGGGTTGGCAATTTTCCCAAGACTGCACAAATTTGAACAGTTCTAGCTTTCTTGCTTTTACTGGATACTCAGAGTTTAATGGATTTAACATCTTGCTTTGGCCAAGAGCATAAGATAAACTAAGGGATTTTATTTTTATGCAATTTTTCTTTCCCATAACCACTCACAGAGCAGGTTAATAGTATCTTTTTTTTAATGTTGTATGTTACTGTATTAGAAGGCATCTTCATATGGATATCTGGTGCATAAGGGAAAACTTACTTTACATCTTTGATAATATGAACTAACCCCCTGCCGTTCCCAGCGAAGAACTGAACCAAGTTCATAATCCAAAGGTGTTGCAATTATTCCCAAGGCCAAAAACAGTTAGTTGTCTGTCATCTGAGGGCTATAAAACTGAGGAAACTAACATCTGTTCGTGTTGGATATAAAAGGCACATAGCTATTCTTTAGAATTCATTTAAAACAGAAAAAGCGAAGCTGAATTCCAACCTGAGTGAAATGAATTATAAGTAACTGTGCCCATTAAATTCAAGATTCAGAATGATTAAAAATAATAAGTGATGTGTAAGCCTCAAGTAATATAAAAATCTCAGCCCTTTGGCCGGAAGGCTCTCGAGGCGTACTTGTTTATCCTCAGGTAAATAATGTACTTGACTCTTGATAATCGACCGGGACTTAATCCCAGCTTCAGATCCCAGTGAGTTTTAAACTTCGCTTGATGGCAGAAAGAGAATGTGAGTGTGAATGTTCTGCTGTGCAGCAAAGAAGAGTTGAAGCTGGTAGCCTGGTTTCTCAGCTTTAGACAGATTATATCTATTTTGATGGATTTTTCTTGTGAGAAGAAAAATGGTTTTGCTTGAAATAGTTTCTATGGCTTTGAACTCTTTTTTTTTTTTTTTCAGCAGAGGAAAAGAAAAAATTTCTGCTAGAACTGGCTCTTGCATTTCAATGAACCATGCATGAATTTCATCAGAGAGAAAGAGAGAGGGAAAGAAAAAAGGGAAAGAAAAAAAAAAAAAAAAACCTTGAAAGCCACAGAACATTTCATCTTTCCAGGGGAATACTATCAGAATTGTCCCCCTACTCAATAAGAAGAATATGACTTTCAAAATGAGATAGATAAAGAGGCGGAAATGTTTCTGGGCCTTTGTTATGAATGCAATATTATAAGTACACAGGAAATTGAAAAATTAGAAAAAATCAGAGAGCTAAATGGATGGAAAAGAGTGAAGGCAAGATTCTTTTTATAGGAAATTCTTGCCAGTTATTTTGGAGGATATATTGGTGTTTGGAGTGAGATGACTCATTTCATGCTAAGATTTTGGGTAAGGCAGCTCTTTTCCTGGCCAACTCATATCTGACTCATTTACCACTAGTGAATAAGGGATAAAATGCTCCTGGCTAAGAACCATTGTAAGTATTTTTTGTTCATTTTTCTTGGGTGGGGGGAGGGGATGACAACACACTGCAAATGGTCATTTTATTTTTTAAACAACACCGATGGGCTTGAAGAATCAGTTACTAGGTAAAGGCTGGTGTGTGGTCATCCATTTTGGGGATAGTTGACTGATAGACAACTTTTAAACTTACTTTTCGGGTAACAAAGGAATTGAGCAGAAAAGATATTGATAGGTCGACAAAATACTGAAACAATCTGAGTGGACCCAACTTGTATATTCAAAGAAAATTAAATAGACCTGGGTTCAGCCCTGCAGACTGCTGGTTAAGGGAGTCAGATCCTACATGGCTGACTCCACCATTTGAATCCCAGACCTAATGACTTGAAAAACATACTGAGCATATATGCATGTATGCCCCAAATTCTGACGGGATAGAGAATTGGAGGAGAATGGATTGCAGCATGACTATGCCTCATTGAGGACAGGGCTTGCTTTCACTTTCCCTCCCACCACAGACTGCTGGTTAAGGGAGTCAGATCCTACATGGCTGACTCCACCATTTGAATCCCAGACCTAATGACTTGAAAAACATACTGAGCATATATGCATGTATGCCCCAAATTCTGACGGGATAGAGAATTGGAGGAGAATGGATTGCAGCATGACTATGCCTCATTGAGGACAGGGCTTGCTTTCACTTTCCCTCCCACAATATGTGTTTGTACATGTGTGTGTGTGTGTGTGTGTTTCTCTGTATATTTCTGATGAGCACATGTGGCTTTTAGAGAGAAAAAAATGCCAGATCACATATTGTTTAGAAGCAAGAATTGTAAGAGCAGAGTTTTTTGTTTTTTTTTTTTTCCTCCCTGTTCATTAGGAAAGGGCATTTTCAAAAGATTTATACTTCATATTTGTTGGATGTCTGTTTCCAAATGCTTCTACTTTGGAAAGATCAGTGCAGTATTCAGATTTGTTCTTGGACACTAGTTCAGGCTCTCCTGAAGATAAAGAAAATATCCTGTCTGTCAAGACTTCAGGATGAGCAGCTATTAAATATGTTGGAGCACATTTATACTCTAGATTTCCTGCCTGCATGTTTTCTTTCTTTTTAACTCAAAACAAAAAACTGACAGGAACCAGCAGTTAGCGTAATGGCTATGTCGCTGGACTCCCACATAGTCGACCACAGTTCGCGTCCCGGACCCAGTAGCTTAAAACTCACGCCGGGCGCATGTGCGTGCGTGCCCAAGATCCCGAGGGGAGAATGGAGGAGAAGGGACTGTGGCGTGACCATCCCCCCTGGGGGGTGATTTCTCGCTTTCCGTCTCTCTGTCTCTCTCGGTCTGTCTGGTGAGCGCACGCACCCTATAATGAAAACCTCTCCAAATAAAACAAAAACCAAAAACTGAAATAATTGTGAATGTCAGTTTGACCTATTGATTATAGTGTAGTCAGGTTAGATTTTCTTAGTACAATCCACTATGGGTGTTTATTTAATCATTTAATTTTCAACTTTTGGCAATTTTTTTTTTTTTTGGAGAGGTTTTCACTGTAGGGCGCTTGCGCTCGCCAGACAGACAGAGAGAGACATAGAGACAGAAAGCGAGAAATCACCCCCTGGGGGGATGGTCACACTGCAATCCCTTCTCCTCCATTCTCCTCTCGGGATCTTGGGCATGCATGCACATGCGCCCGGTGTGAGTTTTAAGCCACCGGGTCCAGGACGCAAACCGTGGTCGACTACACGGGAGTCCAGCGACATAGCCATTACGCTAACTGCTGGTTCCCAACTTTTGGCAACTCTTTATGAAAAAGATGGTTTCAAGTTGAAATATGAGAAAACATAAAATTCCCACTTTTTTTTCTGTTTCATAGTATTTAATTTTCCAATGCATTATGTGTTAACAATTCTCCTGAGTAAAATTACATTCAATTGACAGAATATAATGTATTTATCATTTGCTGAAAATGGTTTTTAGAAATTATCTTAAATTGCATTAAATTTTTAAAAATCCATAGATAGTCTCATAAGAAATATCCAGAGAAACATTTACAGTTCTCCCACTTGTTTATTTTTAATTTTTTATTTTATTTTATTTTATACATTCAATCACATTATTATTTGACTTACAAAATGGTTATTTCAACAAGTGAACATTTCTCCCTAGTACAGTTGATAAAACAAAATATCTTCAACAGATAATACCACATTTCTTTGTGCCATTAATGCTTTGACTCCCTATTTTTCTTCTAAATGTCCCCTTTGATTACTTTGCGTTTTGAGTAACTCTTCTTTCTGAGTATGAAAGTATAACAATAAACTGGAAAATCCCAAGTATCATTTGCCTTAGCTTTGAAGGACGTGGATAACTTTATTTTACTGAATCTGAGGATGTATGTATAAATATAAACCATTATCAAATGCACATTCATTTCTGACATACTTAGAAACATGACTTTGTTCAAATATCTCATCCATTGGTATTGTATTTCCAAGATTTCTAGAAGCTAATTATTGCACAGACTATGCATGTTTCTGATTTTTCCATATGATACCATTATTTAAAGGACATATTTATCTAAGTTGACAAACATTCCAATAAAAACTTTATTTTTAATTTTCATCCAGTGTCACAAAGCCTTGGTTGAAAAGGGGGCTGAGATTTGGAAGCTTCTGGTAAAGAATGATCTGT